GCAGCGCTATAGCGCTGCTATAGCGCTGCACAGCAAAAACGCATAAAAACGCATATTGCGACGACCTCGTGCGTGTGTGTGTTCGTTTGTCCGGGTATTTTAACTCAGCAACCAAGCAAGCTTCGACGCCAAAATTTTGCCAGTTGGCTTCCCTGCCAAGGGCCACCCCAGGACTGCGGTACCAACCTTCATGCACGTCTGGGCCTAGCGTGCGAGAGCGCAAAATTTTTGGCGGAAAAATTGATGACTCGGGAACGAGAAAAGCTGGAAGATTGGAATTTTAAGGGAATGTTCCTTACTCAGCGCGACTAAGGGATTCCAAATTCAACTCTTCTAGTAGGGTCTTTTTCGTGCACTAGCAATTTTCCGTTTGTCAGGTCATTGAAGCCGACATCTACAACTGACACATCACTTAGCTTCACAATTAATGTCCCGAACTTCGAGAGCCGGTATGTCACAAATTCAGGCTACTATTATTCCGTACGACCTTGCTACTGCACGAAATAGTGTAAAAACGCGTTATCGCACCAGCTCGCCTGGTGCGTTCCAGCCTGGGTTTTTAAAAACCAACCATTAAACGGAATTCGTGCACTTACCTTTACGTAAAATTTACAGTGATTTGTGCTAGTGGACGCACAAGGTGAACGTAAGAACCATTCATATAGTTAACGACGTGATTGCCTCAAGTATGGTGCAAATATGCATGACCCCACCGGCAGCCTGGTGCGTTCCAGTTTTCCAGTTTCGGGATTGATTTTCGTTCTGAACGCACTTAACGCACAGTTAGTTAATTTTTGTTCATTCCTGGCTTATCCCGTCCTTCCACAGCTGAATTTCTCATCACTCTACTATAATTTCCTCCTCTTATAACTGCACAAGCCAAACTTTATGGCTGCACTAGCTAAAATTGACCTTTGCCCCGCTGAAATTTGAGTTTTTTTTTCTTCATTCTTTTGCAATTTCTTTTCCATGACGAACAGTGTGTGCCATTCAACGTGAAGGGAAATCCTATGTCGTCTGGGATATTCTATTTACACGTCAGATTTTGTTTGTAGACTTTCTCAGAGGTGCTTTTTTTAATTCGTTTTTTTACTCATACTGTTTAGAGAATAAAGTAGTTAACGACCTCCGTTTAGTAAAACAACATGGTTTCATACAAAACACACATACAAAAAATGAAACAAATCAAGTAAAATGCCGCACACTGCATCATGAACGTACTTCAGCATAAGATCTAGCCTAGCACAGGTGCAAATGACTACAACACTGAATCATAAAAGCCTTAAGAAGGATGAATCTCTTCGAATGATGGACCCACGAAACCTGTTCATGTTCAGCCGTTACGGGAATGAAGCAGGGATGCATATTCAAGCGTGATGAATAACTTTTTCCACAGCCATTTCGATTTATACGATAGCGCTAGTCCCACGTTCGTACAACCGGGTTTAAAAAAAAAAGAAAAAAAAACACTGTTGGTGAGTGCTGTGATTATTTACAAAGCCGCTGAGATTGTTTCGCGAGAGATTGCTGCGTCCTACAACTAAACTTATGTTCTCCGACACTGGGGACCAATTAATAAAATGTGGAAATCAGGGTTGTTGAAACTTTGTCGTCATTATTTTTGTTTGTCGTTTCTTTGATAAATCTGCACTATTTCGGCTACTCAAAGCGACTTCCAGCTTACTTTGAAGCAACTTTTGGGGATAAAAATCGATGTCATCTTTGTTCTAGTTTGTGGTAGAAGCAAATCTTTGTCCTTCAAATCGCACCTTTATTTGTTGATGAATCAAACGCAGAGAAGATTCTTACTAAGTATTTCAATTCTGAATGCAAAACAGTGGCGGTAAATAAGGCAACAGTGATTCTGGTCCGAAACTGTATTTG